TGTGACTCTTCAATTCTACTCCGTGATAAAGCAGGGGGTATAGGCACAGTAGGACACTCTCCTCTAATTATTATCTACTCTTGTTGAATCCAATATGCAAATATGAATGGATTATTAAACTTCTCAATGGGTGGAGCTCAATTAATAAAACTTTGTATTAATTTGCACCACTTGTACTTAAATTAATTTGCAAAAACAAGCAAATCAAAATTTTTTTTAATTGCTACCTTTCATTCCTTTCTTTATCACGAGGTTCCTGGCTATGGAGGGCTCGCCATAATGGCCCTGGAAATGAAACGTGAGCTCAACTTTCATCTCTTCTCCAGACGGATCTGTCGGCTTCCATGGAAGCTTGATACCAAACGGCTCTCTAAGATGATGCGTACGTCCATGACCACCATTCTCAGTCATGTCAACCTACAGCAAACACAATAGTCTAACACTATTATGCATTTTAAAAATTATAGTAGTTTTTTTTACTAATTTTCAACTATTTTTAAACAAATTTCTTATTTGGCTTACACCAGTTAAAAAAGAGAATATATATCCAAAAGCGTCCTGTCCTTCAATGGCCACTTCCACTTCTCCTTTATCCTCGCAATGTGACGTGGTAATAAGGACTAGTCTCTTTAATCGAAACTCAGGTATGGGTAATCCAAGCTTCTTCATTACCATTGTCGACACTTCTTCACATTTAGCATGAATACAGAGTGTACCCATACTGTGCAATGCTGTTCTCTGCAGGTTGACTATAACTAGTTTCCTGCCACTTTCCGAGACGAGCTATAGGTGAGAATGAGGTCATATGACATCATGTGATATCATTAAAGTTTGTGTGTGCATATGGACATGTGTATGTATGGCTCTCTTACTCTTGGTATGTGAGCTGCAGGAGTGACTGTCAAACTTGACCCCATTGCTAGACAAAGGTCTGCTATCCCTCCTTCTTTAAAGGACTTGTTTAAATCAGCTAAAGGAGGAGAAAAATAGAGATGAATATATGGGGAAGGAGATTTGAAAGTGAAGTGGATTAAGCAAGATTGTTAACCTTCAGGTAAATTTTCCCCAAAATTAATGATGGTATCACAAAGAGGACCACGGCATTTACGATCATCGCACTTCCTGCCTGCAAATGTAAAATAATAATAATAATAATAATAATAATAATAATAATAATAATAATAATAATAATAATAAATCACTTACCAGTCTCATGAGCAAATATACCAAATGCTGTCCGAGTGGGGAAGTCCCTTAAATACTCTCGCCCACATTTCTGACACACCTCAAGGTTACTGTTGCCATGTAGCTCGGCCAATGCTAAAAGATCATGTGAGATACGTGTGACATGTCATGTAACATGTGGGCGTGTACCTGTTTTAGGTAAACCACTCCTCCTATGGAGGCCGTCAGTGTTTTGACTTACACAGAATTTCAGTATCCCTTCCTAAAATAAAATTCAATTAAGAATATAATTAATAATTTATGGTCATAATTATATCTTGCATGACTCTTATTTATTGTTATTTTATAAACAATGATTAGTTATAGTAGTCACAACACTGTAAAGTTTCCCCTGGAGAGATTACTTTAAAACAATGATGTCATCATCAGTAACTATTTTTAGTAACAATAAATGCATAGAAAAATAGCATAATCATGCCATTCACCTTGCTATTGACAAACTGAAATCAAATTAAAAACATACAAACGTATAACAAACACATTCTACACAAGACAACACATTCTCATCTCTCCTTCCCTTACTTCTTGCAGTTTAACAAACATCATATGGGTCGGTGTGGGAATTGCTTTGGTAGTGGACGTTGTACGATACTTGGCTCTATCTCTGGAGGCACCTTGAGCCCTCAGCTCCCAAGCACCAGGACCTGAAAGACGTCAAACCAGTTCAGCAATATTGAATATACTAATGGGTCTTACCAGTACTCAATTTAGTGTCCATTCCACTTCGGAAATCAGGTACTAAGAAAAAGCAAATTATTATTTATATAATTTTTTTTATGTCATGCAATGATACAAATGCATAGCATACTAACATTACACGGACTTACTTCCAGCCCCAGTGCTTATTCCAGCTCCCTACGCAACAAATTAGTATTATAATTAGATCTACGAGTCACACTGGTAATATACTCTTACTGTAAATGCAATCATGTGCTTGCTGTCCTTTATCCACTGGACTAGCATATCAACTTTCTCCTCCAGGACGTCTGGAGGATCAAAATACTCTCTCTTTTCTTCATCGCTGCGAGCAGTGTGGGCCATCTTAGGCTGACAATGGGACTCACTGAACTGGAAGAAATTTGTTTACTAGACATTTTTATTAATAATTGTACAAAACGTCATTATGAGCTCATCCAGATAATATACTGCCCACTCAATTTTAATAAAATCAATAATAATAATCTGAATTGTTTTTCTTTAAGTCTCATCTGCTTTGAATTGTTGTACTGATGCCTATAAAATGCTAATAATAAATCTGATGTCATTGAAGAATCGCTTGACCCACCTCGTAGGTCTTGTGAATGTGTTGGAAGAGTTCTCTTAAATCTTCCAGGCCTCTCCTTAAAACTTCAGTTGCAGAAATCCCTGACAATAAAATTAAATTAATGTAATCATGCACAACTGAACAAACGAAAGTAAACCTAATATTATTAATAATTTCTATCATTTTAAATACTTCTAAATACCAGTCGTTTGTATTCTAAGATTTATTTTTCTCTCTGATGGATGAGGTGTACTATATCCACAGAAACTGACGTCAGGACTGCAAAAAAGGAAACAACTTTTGGCAAAACCAATAGCTACTTTTTAATGAGTATCCAGCGGAGGGCGTTCCCAAGGGTGTGGTCTTCATCTTGGAGCACAAATGTCATGCAAGTGACATCATCAGGATCTTCCAAAGGCAGCTAAAAACAAAATGGCGTATATAAAAAGTGTTTGAGTATATATCTAAGGTCTGAGGAGCTTATAAGACTGGAAAAAACAACTTACTATATGGAGTCTAAGTTTATCTTCCTCCATGTGGATTTTTATAACTGCCTAGTTATAAATTTTTCATACCACGTGATTACACGTGGGAGTTCCTACTCCGGATATTATCAGGCCTCGTAGGGCACACCCAAAATCCGGATACTTATTGTATACTTTCGCATACTCTCCCATGACCAGCAGAGTTAGCAGACATTGGAGGGAGAATTTAAGTCCATGAGTTAATTATAGTCTCTTTCTTCTTCGTCTGGTCTCTCTTTTAGCGCTCAGCCATTCTACAAGGCCAAGAGTTCCGGGATTAATGGCCTCCTACGGGACACTGGGGTCAATTCAAAGCCCTGGCATCATATACTCCTCCATATCAAGAGGATCCACAATACTAGCTCTCCATGCTAGCTGTGATGGTAACTTTGCTGAAGTAGTTCCTCAAATACTATCAGTCATTTCTCGTGGAGACCTCACCAGCAGACTCACTTACACCAGTGGAGAGTAAGCTGGACTCTCTTGAAACCACACCCACTTATTAACACCTTTCTCTCTAGTTACATGTTTCATTATGTCTCGGAGGAAGGAATTATTTTTCTCTGCATTACAGGAGACGTACGTGTGTGTATGTGTATGTATATGTACAGTATGAAATATTTGCTAATAATTATTTTTACTTAGATGTTATTATTTAATTTAAGTACATATAACTCCAGGTGGTTTTTGTTGTTCAATAATGAGCAAATAACAGTTTGTATTTTATAGCCAAAACACCAAATTATTATGCGTTTTCCTTTGTCCACAATAAATGCGAGAGAGAGATAAATAATACCACGTAGTAGATAATGAATTAACGTCTGTCTTTAATTTCTTCATTTTACAGGATTTTGAGCGCTCAAGAGCTTTTATGTTTTTAGAGCATGTCAAATCAGAGTAGGTGTATTCGTTAGTAACATTATAACATAATGCTATGTACATCTAGCTTCTTTGATACTTATGGGGACAATTTCTCACAGTTAACTCCATACAGTTTAAATGCATCTTTAAAAGGAGAGCTATCTCGAAAAATGGTATTTTATACTCTGGTAGTAATAATTATTTTTATTATATTATTTTTGTTTTAGCAACAATATTCTGAAGACTCGTATTTTATTCCTAACGGAGACCAGACTATGATCAGACTAGACACAATAAGAGTTAAAGCATTTGGTACGTATCTCATTAAACCTCCCCCTAGTCATGTGATAGTCACGTGACGTCTTGTCCATTATAGAGAGCATCAGTGAGAGTGGTATAGAACTAGAGAGACTTGAACTCCTAGAATCTTCAGATAATTACAGTTTAAGAAGTTTTGAGGTATATTTTTTAATTTTTATTTTATTTTATTTTATTTAAAAAAAAATTTTTAATTTAATTTTTTTCTTTAGCAACAAATAGTCGAAGGACGCAATTTTTGCAAAGAATGCTGTCGCAAATATTATCGTAATTGGCTGGTTATCTGTATCTTTGTTTTTGTCTTAGTAGTAAGTCTTAAACATACTTGTACATAATATAGGTTTGCCCTTTAATGTTTGTTACATTCTATTAGTATTAATTTTTACTTATTTTTTTAGTGTGCATTTTATAACCTTATTCTATTTTTCTTAGATTATACTGACAGCAATTATTGTCATTATTGTTGTTACAGATGAAGACATTGATCACCCAACCAGTTCTACAGCATTACGCAACTCATTACCATGAAATTTCCACTATTTTTTCATCTTCACATTTGCATGTTTGTTTTTGACACTTTTATCAAGCTGATTATTATTATTATTATTTTATTTTTGTGTTTTTACTATCTCCATTATACATATTGTAATTATATTATATTATATATATATATATGTGAATGACTTTTTGGTTGTATATAATGTATCACTCTATCTTCTCTTTATTGATAATTTCTTCATAAAAAGTGCCACAAAAAGAAATGAATGTCCACCATTTTGAGGGTTAAATAATAACCCTCTGGCCCCACGTGCAAGCACGTGGGCAATCAATCGCATTGGATAGAAAATGGTTTCAGTCCTCAGCCAAGAACTGATTTTCCAAGCAGTCAAATCTTTAGCTCCTCCTCTTTCTTACGAGGGGCACAAGGGACAGTCTGGACGGATAGGACTCATCGGCGGATCTAAAGAGTTTGTTTCTAATTAATGCGCACCTCTGACTCTCTCTTTAATTTATATAATTTTAGATACACAGGTGCCCCTTATTTTGCTGCTATTACAGCACTGAGAATTGTAAGCAAATTAATTTAATTTTTAATGGATTTTTTAGTGTGTATATATATTAACTTTTAATGCTTGAAATAATGCCCCCTTAAAACTACTGTATCGTAACGAATTTGTCCAAAAATTTGCTACTAATAATGGCCATAACTCAAAAAATGTAAGCTGGAATCAGCTCAAACTTTTTACACAGCATAAAGACATCAATATGTATAAGAAAATATAATAAAAATTGGGGGTGATTTTGGAGCCATTTTTTGGAAAAAACCATGGGCTATAGTACAGGGATTTTTTCAGAAATTGGCCTATTTTTAAAAATGGACATAACTCAAAAAATTTAAGTCAGAATCGGCTCAAACTTTCTACATAGCGTAAGTACATCAATATGTATCAGAAAATTTAATAAAAATTGGGGGTGATTTTGGAGCCATTTTTTGGAAAAAACCATGGGCTATAGTACAGGGATTTTTTCAGAAATTGGCCAATTTTTAAAAATGGCCATAATTTGAAAAATTGAAGTAGGAATCGGCTCAAACTTTCTACATAGCATAAGGACATCATTATGTATAAGAGAATGTAATAAAATTTGGGGGTCATTTCGGAGCCATTTTTTGGAAAAAACCATGTGCTATAGTACAGGGTATTTTTCAAAAATTAACCCATTTTTAAAAATGGCCATAGCTTGCAAAATTGAAGTCGGAATTGGCTCAAACTTTCTACATAGAATAATGGCATCAATGTGTATCAGAAAATGAACTTCAAAATTATTAAATTATAATGATTTGTTAATTTTTAACCCTTATAACTTTTAGGGCGCCGATCTAGCTCATGTTTTCTGTCCTCCTGAGGCAGCCCCTGTAATCAAGTCGTACAGTCCAGAACTAATTGTACATCCTTTACTGTAAGTATTGTAATATAAAGAATAATTAATATATAATAATAATAATAATAATAATAATAATAATAAATAATTATTATTATTATTCTTACTAGGACTGAAGACACACCACTCTCTGTTGAAAGTATATCCCCATGGTTGCCACGGTTGCACTCAATAGTGATTGGTCCCGGTTTAGGGAGGGATAACGCAATACTGAGAACTGTTAAAGTGAGAGAGAGAGAAGTCTTGAAATCGAAAGAGTTGTTTTATATTATTTTTATGATACAGGAGTTGCTCAAATTAGCTAAAGAACAAGAAAAGAACATAATCATAGATGCAGTTAGTATATAAAATGGAGAGATTCTAAGCAACTTTAAATATTCCTTTAAAAATCCAAATTTTGATCAGAACCAGCTCAAATATTTTACACAGCATACGAACATGTATAAACATCAGACAAAATTTACAAAATTATCTCCTAGCTATTTTTGATAAATTACCATGCACTATAGTATAGGGTTTTTCCATGTCCTTGAACTTGGTCTAACTGATTAGTGTATGAGCTATACATGTCTTTGAATGTATCAATCTGCTGGTCTACCTTGAAACTAAAAGAAGCCTTACATTACAATAGTTAATGATGCTATATCCTAAATATGTGATCTACATGTAGTACCACCTGCCTGAATTACTTGAAAAAAATCACTGCCTTGTTTAGAGGTGTTCATCCATGAAATTTGTGGTCTTTCTGAATTGCCCTATTTAAAAGAGACCACAAAATTAGTCTCACTCACAGCCAGCACAATTGCTAGTAACTTTATAATCACTAGTAAGACTATACTTTTAAAGATGATCCTTAAATACTTTATGTATGTACATGTGCATGTACATATACATGTACATGTACATATACATGTATATGTACATGTACATGTATGTGCTAATGACCAGTGATCTCATAGTTCATGTTAAATGATATCCTTGCTAAACTGCATGGACGTGTATGGGCGACGTTTTGGAATGCTATAACCCATAAATCACTCTTTATGTATTCTAATGTGCATAGAAGCGTTACGTGTACAAATACATGTACATGTACCTGTTATAGATCAACAGCACAGGAGTGCCAATAGCATATTACACATACACAAATACCTTTAGGTATTATCTACTCTTGATATTACACAATGGCTTTAAAATCAACCTTAATCAATCTTGAATTTTAAAATTATTTTAGCATGTGTGACATTATGCTATTGTTTCGTGAGACTAATCTGTATTCTTCACTACTTGTTTGCACACAGAAAGTTCATTGTACGGGCTATATAAGGATTACCCTCATTTGCCACGCCTAGATACTGTACAACTCCTGTCCCGTGCAAACCACATTATTTTATAATTAAATTATTTTTGATTCATTTTAGGACGGCCTTTATCTGATCACGAATGACCCTCAACCTATTAAAGGATACCCTAATTGTATTTTAACTCCAAATAAAATCGAGTTTGATCGACTTTATCATAAAGTGGTACGTATTCGATCTTATTTTTGTATTATTGGTACATTCCAATTTCAGTTCTCCTCCCCACCATCTGGTTCTCAGTATCAGACAGAAACAATGGATTTAGCTCGTGCTTTGGGCGGAGTCACGATAGTCCGTAAAGGTTTACATGACGTGATCAGTAATGGACAACAAGGTGAGTGCCTGATTTGAGTGGGTGGATATGAAAAGAGAGAAAAGGAGAGTGGGGGAGAGACAGATTATTGATTGATCCAGTGTGTGTGTGTTAATGTCTTTCATTTTTCTGATGTGGCTAATCTCTATCAGTGAGTAGCTCATACTAGAGTGATGTTAGTGTGTAGGAAGACATACAAATTTTGATTGACTTAGTCTTTGTTCTGTCTCTTCATAAACCTTTCTTCTTTCTCCCACTCTCATCTGCTCTTTAATTCTCTCTTACTCTCACACACTCTCTCTCTCACACACACTCTGGGGAAGAGAGGAGAGAGAGAGTGAGTGAGAGAGAGAGTGTGTGTGAGAGAGAGAGAGAGTGTGAAAGAGAGAGTGTGAGAGAAAGAGAGAGAGTGTGTGTGAGAGAGAGAGTCTCTCTCTCTCACTCACTCTCTCTCTTCTCTCTTCCTCAGTCCTGTCATGTGAAGAGGAAGGGAGTCCATGTAGAAAAGGCGGTCAAGGTGATCTGCTCTCAGGATGTCTGGGAGTGTGTTCCTATTGGGCACAATTGGCTAAAGAGCATAATCGGTACAGAATACATGTACATGTACATATACATACATTACATGCATGTACATAGATTCATATATACATGTACATGCATGCATGTATCTTACTAGTAGTATACATTTCATGTTCATGTATATCATGTTTCTGGTTCACTGATAGTCTAGCATCAGTAATTGAATAATATTATACAATATCAGTGTATCAGACGTGTCATGGCTACAGTGCCTACATTCAGTGTTATTAATTATATCATTGTAGTCTGTGTGTCTTGTATTTCTTGCCCCCAGCGAGAAATTCTATGCAGCTACTGATAATAATTTTAAAATTATATCATTGTAGTCTGTGTGTCTTGTATTTCTTGCCCCCGGGGAGAAATTTTATGCAGCTACTGATAATATTTTAAAATTATATCATTGTAGTCTGTGTGTCTTGTATTTCTTGCCCCCCAGGGAGAAATTCTATGCAGCTACTGATAATATTTTTAAAGCCTGAAATACATGCACATGGGAAATATGTACGATTGTAGATTTAATTTGTAAATGTGAGTTCCTTTGTAATTTGTTACATGTGTATATAATGTTCCTTGTTATTGGTTTTATACTAGCATTGGAATGTAATGCATTCTTCTGATCCTCATTAATAATGTATTAGTACATGATATCCCTATTTTATGATGTATATGTAATAATAATTTGTAGTGTCTTGTGTGGTAAAGGATAAAGGTAGATTTTTATAAATACCGTCTATCTGGAAATTTTTTACCGTGATTTAAATTTTACTGGATTAGAATTTCGCAGAAAAAAAAAAATTAGATCACTCATATAACTAGATGCCAACATTCAGTAATACATATGACACAGTCTTTTTAGTAAAAATTAAATGACAGCACAATTTTAAAACACAAAAATTTTCTACCACACTAATTTCCTGATCCATGGTAAGTTATCACAGTTTGTTCCATTGCTAGATTGACTCTTAAAGAGACTGAATTGCCACTTACTCTGCTAGCCTCTTATACCAGCTGTTTGATTGTTAAAAAGTGCGCCAGACTCACTTTTAAGAGGCTAGGAAGGTCTCTCCTGGCTTGTGACATGGTTGATAATGTTGGAGGAGTATCATGTGAACTTTTTGATCAGTAGAACCATAACACTTGTCTCTTCCTTTGTTTATCTCTCTCTCTCATTCTCCCTCTCTCCCTTTCCCTCTCTTTAATTGAATGTACTAATTTGATTATACCTTATAATTATGGTCTCCTCTGAATCCCAAAGGACATCTTAACATTGAGAATCTGACATTGTACATACATACGTGTACATGCACCCAATCCACTACTACATACAAGTACATGCATGTGTACTGTACATACATTGTACAGTTGTACTCACCTGTTGCAATGCATAACTCTTGCATGCATGCTTTTGCCATGATATAAATTACTATAGATGGAGATCAAAACAACTTTGTGTGGTTACCAGGCCTGTCCTAGTTTGAACTGCTAACAATGCCAATGAAAACATGTTGAAATTCTATTGTATGTATGGGGATGACCCTTAGAGGCAAATTAATAAATGATTCTTAAAATGTTGCATAGCAATAATAGGCAGTGTTATTTTACTTACATAGCGAGCAATTTCAAAATAATCTGCTAGTATTTTAACATAACAATAAGACACATTTTACATGCACTAATATTGCATAGTCTACATAATACTTATATCAGCTCTGTATATAGTGATAAGTATGCATAATGTTGATATTGGGAGAATTAAAGTTCATGTGCACATTATAGTCTTCTTTTATAGTCGTGGTACACCCATTCCAAGGAAGGTTCCTTTGCATCCCATGGTAACCCTTGCTTTTGGATTACCGCTTGGTTTGCTCTCGTCAACCCAGTACTTGAAGCCCCTCTTAGCTCTGTCTTGACTCGTTATTGCAGAGGAGACCCTGTGGGGGCGCTGGCTTGTTCCAGGCCCTGGGGTACTGAGGTGGTGGGAGAGGGTGAGTGGGGGGAGCTCGGTGTTCATTTCGGCGTTGAGTTGAGAGCTACCCATACCACGAGAGACCAGCCCAGCTCTGTTGAACTGAGTAATGTCAAGACTGTATCTCCTTGTCCTTAAAGTAGGAACTATTGGAGCGAAAATATGACGACAATAATAATTATTGTAATAGCTAATATTGTTGCTTATGTAATTGCAGGTTTGTAGCCAGCCCCACCTCCTTAGGGGAGGAGTCTGACTGCAACGAACCAATTTAGGTAAAACTGCAAATAGTGCTAGCTTGTAGATACATTGATCTGTTAATTGTGCAATCGTGATAATTAGGCTATTGTAAAGCAGAAGAGGAGCCATTGTATAAAGAGTGAGAGAGAGAGAGAGAGTATGTTTTAAATTTAGGATGCACCGTTTTGTAGGATATACTGTACTTCTAGTTACCAATATACTTACCTTCTGGGGCACAGAGAACTATTACATTGCCAGTTGGTAGCTGTGTTCGACGGAACGTCTGAAAAGATAATAATAATATCAAAGTATTGAGCTTTTCTTTCTTTCTCTCTCTCTCTCTTTTAATGCACTATAATATAGATGCAGTTTATATTGGACAAGTACCTTTATCTTTGTTTTACTCCAGTGATCGGTTGGATAAGGTAGACTGTGTCTTGAGTATTGTGCATACCTACAGAAAATTTGTAAACAAAAGGATTAAGGATATGTTTGATACTGAGGCTACAGTTGGGCTCACCCTGTTGCCATCTTGCTTGCTCTGCAGCTCAACAGTGCTGGAGGTCTTGCTTTGGAATGCTGGGAATGTCGTTAAGTGTGTGAGGCGGGGAATGACCATAAAACTTTATTCATGAGAGGATTTTTGTGTGTGTTCAAATGTGACGTCAGTTCATTCATAGGGGAAGACTGTGAGCTCGCTTTACTTCATCTCTTCTCCAATCTGTCTGCCTCTTTCTTCTCTTTTTCCTGTTTTTCCTGATTCCCTCTCGCTTCTTTTGGAAAGGGCAATCTTGTTGTTTGATGAAATAGAATAAGAGGAGCAGAGAGAGAGAGAGGTAAGCCCGGACTGTTTTTAAACAACACGATGTTGTATTTCTTTTTCATCCGGTAGGCAAACCATGCTGCTTTATCTGTCCCTTCTGATTTTATCTATACTCTGCATCAGCTGTCCTGCTTCTGGCTGTCTTCCATCTGCAAGCTGTTCCTCAGGCTCCTGTAACAACCTTCCTGCTTCTACCTGTTGCCTCAGAGTACAAGAGAACACTCCGCTGGGAACAGTCATTGGAAATGCTAGCGAGATAAATGATCCAAAATTAGCGAGCCTCACTCGCCCAGTCACTTTTACAGTTCAGCCAGGAAACAAAATCAACGTCTCTTCAAATGGTACCATAACTGTCAGCGCTCCACTGGACAGAGAGAACTCGAGCTGCTTTGATGTGACACTTACAGCCGAGGGTAGACCTGGTGAGTCAATCCTTACCCCTCGAGTTGCTGTACAACTCCTTGATGAGAATGACAACTCTCCTGTATTCACTGGAGTACCTAGTGGAGTCTTGAACATTTCTGAGCAAGAAACCAATGGCCCTGAAACAAAATTTTACTGTTCCCATAGTCTTATTGCGTCTGATCCAGATGAAGGACCCAATGGCACTATAGCCGATTACACGGTTCTCTCTCCACCCAATACATTTAGTGTATCACTTGATTCTGATCGTGTCTGTTTGAACAGTTTGAAAGCCCTTGATCGCGAAACTAGCACGACCATCACAATCATCCTGTTAGCTGTAGACAATGGTACAGTAGTCCAACGAAATGGGAGTCTAACAATAATATTAACACTCTTAGACATCAATGACAACAGCCCTGTATTTATTAATACCCCAGTCAACAATACTCTAATGGTCCTTGAGACAGCACCCATCAATACAACCTTATTTAACTATACAGTGAATGATGCAGACGATGACTCAAATGCTAAGATATTCTTTCATTTGCAGTCCTCTAGCCAAGTACCTTTTGACATTCACAATAATGGGAGTCTATATGTGAATGGGGAACTCGATGCTGATACAAATAACTGTAATAATCCAGTCACGTACACTTTCAACATTATTATAACAAATACTGATAGTGTTAATGATCCAGTGAAAGCAACTTCACCATTGACCATCACAATTGATAGTGTTGTTGAGAATCCTCCTGATATGTCCTTTGGCAGCAGTTATGGCACTGAGTTAGTGGAAGGTCTTAGCACCTCAAGCTGGAGCCAGGTTTATACAGTTCAAAATGAAGAATGCAATACAAATTACACTGCTCAGATAACTGCTGGGTCTCAATATGTTCAAATTCATAGACTTGGAATAGGTACAGGGTGGATTTTCTTCTTAGGGCCAAAGGCAGTTATTCTAGACAGAGAAGAGACCCCTGTTATTGATGTACTTATGCTATTTACAGCTAACGGACTTCCAAAGCCCTTAAGCACCACAGTACCATTCAATGTGACGCTACTAGACATCAATGACAATCCACCGTCTCTGAGTCGCACAACTTTCTCTGTTGAGGAGAACGCTGTATTGGGGTATCCAATTGATAATCTACCACCTTACTTTGAAGACCCAGATAATGGGACGAACAGTACTTATGGACGAGTGATTCAGCTAACAGGACAGCAGTGGATATTGGTACGAGATGATGACGTAGCCGGAGCTATTGAAGTATATGGTGAACTGGATTACGAGTCATTAGGTGATGAGATAATGGTTAATATAACGCTATATGATGCTGGTACCCCTCCTCTAAACTCTAACATCACATTGATTATTAATTTGATTGATGTTAACGACAACGTTCCGGTTTTTGTCGGGATATCCAATGGAAGTGTTTTCGATATTTCTGAAAACGAACCCTCAGGTACTCGAATTGCTCTCATTCAAGCGACAGATAGAGACTCTGGACTAAATAGCAACCTCACATATTCATTATTTAATTCCACTCTATTCGTCATTGATCCTCTTACGGGTCAACTTGACTCCGCCGTTTCTTTTGATCGAGAAGAGACCAGTGAGTACATGATTGATGTATGGGTAACAGACGGGGGAACGCCACCTTTGAGCACTTTTGTGTCCGTAAAAATAAATATTGATGACTTGAATGACAACCCGCCGAGTTTTGAAAACGAGACTTACCAGTTTCACACTCAAACTGATCAACCTGTGGGAGCCATTGTGGGCATGGTTAAGGCAGAAGACCTGGACTCTGGTGAGAATGCAGCTGTTCGTTATAGACTGATCAATCGCGCTCTTTATTTCAACATCAACTCGAAAGGTGGAATTTTCATCTCTGAAACTCTACCACAAGAGGACGGTCATGTATACAATATTACTGTAGAAGCTTACAATCCTGATAAAAGGATGAATTCAACTGCTGAGGTGCAAATTATTATCAGTTTTATTCCATCTGCTACTCCTACAACATCATCCAATTCCAATGAAGTATTGATGTACATTGCTTACGGTGCACCTGCATTATTCTTTGCTCTTTTATTTGCTATCTTTACCACTGCCTGTTTGATATGCTGCATTCGCTGCTATAGGCATCGTAGCCGGGACCTTTATAAGTTCAACGACCCTCCGGCTCCCTCACCGCCAAAGAAATCCAGCCTCAGGGCTGTACCCACTGCTGGGTCGAGATATGAGGACTCGAGTGCCTTTTATAGGAAGACCTCAGCTGCTAGTACCAATGGTGCTCCGCCTAAAAGTCCAACGGTCAATTTCAGTGATAAATCTCAAGTGCATTATTACTCGACTGAGGAGACGATGCTCTCAGATGTCACTGACGGTATAGGTAGGATTGGTTTGAATCACCCTCCAGCTGTCGTTGAGGAGATTGAGTTATCAGAGCCTCCACTCTCTCCTGATCATTGTACGCCTACTAAAGCTACTCCACCTGCTGAAACGGAGACTAGTTTGACTGCCAGAGGCGTCATAAGCTCGTCAACTTCGACTGTCGTTGGTCCCAACTCTCTCTCCGACGACCTCTCCCTCTCTCCCGGGAGCACCAACACTGCTCAAGATCTGTCTCATATTTATAATAAGCACTCGAAAGGCCCACCTGTGCTAAGAGAGGACTTGCTTAAAAAACACGACAGAGAGTATGCAGGGTCCTCGTTTCCTCAAGCAATTGTTGATGAAGGTTCTCTAAGTGATGGAGAGTCTACGTCTGATATGGTCAACCATGCTCCTCCTTCAAGAAACATGCCACGCCCTCCTTATCACTTAATGGGCGGGGCTAATGGTAGCCTACGATATCCTCCTCCTCCGCTGAGAAGTGAAGAGCCAGTACTAACTACAGGAATGAGCTCGGAATTTATATCGCACCCGGTCAAACCGTCGCACTCCCTCCCTCCCCCTCCTCCCCACTCTCTCCCTCACTCTCTCCCTCACTCCTCACGCACACACAGTAACTCTGTAATGTACTACTCGCACGGAGGAAGCCACGCCCACAATGGACATCCTCCGAGAAACATGTACGAGAATACGTACCCGTACAAAACCCACCAACAGAATCACATGAATGGGTCCCTCCTTCGCTGCTCCTCCTCTACCTCC